ATGTCCTAAGCCAAAATCAAGAGTTAAATGCTTAACCAACTGAGCCACCCAGTCGCCCCATGTGTTGCCCTTTTATAACTATAATCATCCTTATCACTTTCCACTCCCATCTTAAACTTTTGGCCACCATTAATCTGCTCTCCATTTCTAAAATTTTTTCATTTCAACAAATGTTACATAAATGGAATCATATGCTATGTTACCTTCTGTGATTGGCTTTTTTCATTCAGTATAATTCCCTGGAAAATCATACAAGTTGATGTGTGTGTCAATAGTTTGTTAATTTTTATTGCTGAGTAGTATTCCCTGGTTTCTTTCTTTTTAAAAATTTTTTAATGTTTATTTTATTTTTGAGACAGAGTGGAAACAAGGGAGGGGCAGAGAGAGAGGGAGACACAGAATCTGAAACAGCCTCCAGGCTCTGAGCTCTCAGCACAGAACCTGATGCGGGGCTCAAACCCACGAACCGTGAGATCACAAATCGTGAGATCATGACCTGAGCCGAAGTTGGATGCTTAACCAACTGAGCCACTCAGGTGCCCCTCCATGGTTTCTATATGTCAGTTTGTTTAACCATTAATCTGTTGAAGGACATCTCAGCTGTTCTAGTTTGGGGCTATTATAAATCAAGTTGCTATGAATATTCATTTACAGGTTATTGTGTAAATGTAAGTTTTCATTTCTCTGGGATAAATGCCCCAAAGAGCAATTGCTATGTTGCATGGTAATCACATGTTTAGTTTTATAAGCAACTGCCAAAATGTATTACAGAGTGGCAGTACCACTTTACATTTTCACCAGCAATGTATGGGTGATCCACAATCACCTTTTAAAGTGATTAAAAGGGCACCTGGATGGCTCAGTCAGTTAAACATCTGACTTGGACTCAGGTCATGATCGCAGGGTTCATGGGTTTGAGTCCCACATTGGGTTCTATGCCGACAGTTCAGAGCCTAGAGTCTGCTTCAGATACTGTGTCTACCTATTTCTTTCTCTGCCCCTCCCCAACTCATGCTCTGTCTCCCTCTCTCTCTCAAAAATAAATGTTTAAAATATTTGAATAAAAATAAATTGATTAAAAATAAGGAGTGCCTGGGTGGCTCAGTCAGTTGAGTGTCCAGCTCTTGATTTTGGCTCAAGTTATGATTCCAGGGTGTGGGATCAAGCCTTACATCAGCCTCTATGCTGAGCATGGAGCCTGCTTGAGATTCTCTCTCCCTTTACCCCTCTCTCACACTCTATTTCTTTCTATCTCTCTGAAAATAAAAAATTAATTAATTAAAAATTATTTTAAAAATAATTAAAAAGAACTCTTTTATATTTACCTCCATTTTAACCATTTCTAGAGATCTTTTTATTCCTTGGTGTAGACCCAAGTTTCTATCTGGTAACTTCCTTGAACACTTCATGTAATGCACCTCTGCTGGTAATGAAATATTTCAGCCTCTTGTCTGAAAGTCTGTATTTCATTTAATTTTTTAATGTTTATTTATTTATGTTGCGGGGCAGAGAGAGGAGAGACAGAATCCCAAGCAGGCTCCATGCTGTCCATGCAAAGCCTGATGCAGGCTCTCACAAACTATGAGATCATGACAGGAGCCAAAACCAAGAGTCAGACATCTAACCAACTGAACCACCCAGGCACCCCTCACTTAATTTTTAAAGATATTTGCAATGTGTATAAAATTTTAGGTTGACAGGTTTTTTTCTTTCATATTTTAAAGATGTCATTACATTGTTTTCTGTCTTGCATTGTTTCTGGTGAAAAGTCTGCTGCTTATTTTATTTTTATTCCTCTCTATGTAGTGTATTTTATATCTTAGGCTACCTTAGTGGTTTATGTTTATGTTTGGCTTTCAGTAGCTTGATGTGTCTAGGTGTTTTTTGTTTTGTATGTTTGGTGGGGTTTTCAATATTTATCCCGGTGTTTTCCTGGTCCTCTGAGCTACTTGGATCTTGAACTTCTGGGTTTGATGTCTTTCATTATTTTTTGGAAATTCTTGGCTATCATCTTTTCAAATATTTCTTCTAACCTGTTCCATTCTCTTTTGGGATGGGAAGAATTCCATTAAAATACACTTGACTATTTCATATTGTCTCAAGTCTCATGGGTACTCTATTCTTTTTGATTCTCACTCTATCTGTGTTTCAGCTTGAGTAATTTCTACTGATATATCTTCAAGTTCACTAACTCTTTCCTCATGGGACACTCTTCATATTCAAGTTTGCACAAGTTCAAACTTCATAACCATCTTTAGCTCCCCCTTCAGAATTGAGTGTGGATTTACAATTAATAGACCACTCTGAAAGATAATACAGTCACTATCCCCATCCCTAGTTTTCCTTATCTCCAGCCCCTGAAAGAACTTTGCTGATTTCAGGGAAAGGCAAAATGAAAACAAATTCAGGAAATACACCATTTTATATGCTCTTACTGCAACACCCTGGCTTGGATCAGAGAACTCAGAATATGAATCAGGTCTACTCTGCCTACACTGCTTCCAATTCTTACTGAACATACCAAAAGACCAAGTAGTGGCAACCCAGTGAGTACTGTTATGATGTGCACCCTGTGGTAGGCTAGAGCCTGCTCATCCTGGCTGGTAGTGAGATGCATTGTCAACTTTTCAGAAATTTCTCAAGCTGGGTTTTAAACACAGCAACTGTTAAATAAATAAATAAATAAATAGGGGGGTGCCTGGGTGACTCAGTCAGTTAAGTGTCCGACTTCAGCTCAGGTCATGATCTCTCAGTTCGTGGGTTCGTACCCCACGTTGGGCTCTGTGCTGACAGCTCAAAGCCTGGAGACTGCTTTGGATTCTGTGTCTCTTTCTCTCTGCCTCTCACCTGCTCGTACTGTCTCTCTCAAAAAAAAAAAAAAAAAAAATTAAAAATTAGGTGCACCTGGGTGGGTGGCTCAATCAGTTGGGTGGCTGACTTCTATTTGGGTCATGATCTCACGGCAGGTGGGTTCGAGCCCTACATTGGGTTCTGTGCTGACAGCTTGGAGCCTGCATCTGTGTCTCCCTCTCTCTCTTCCCCTCCTCCACTCATTCTCCCTCTCTCTCTCTCTCTCTCTCTCTCTCAAAAATAAACATTAAAAATATTTTAAAAAATTAAACACAGCAATTGTTAAAAATTAACTTATGTAATTTTATGATTAAATGATATTAAAAACAAAAGTGATAAGTAGTCAAAACATTACTTTCTAGTTGCTACATTTTACTGTTACTTATGCTTTTAATGTTTTTAATATCTGCCATACCTGTATGGTAATACAATATGTGCACATGGTGTTACAATTATGTGTTTTGTTTTTTAATTTTACAATGGCATGATACTGAGCATCTCTCCCCCTAAATCTGTGTTCAGTAATATCACATTTATAGCCTGAAATTAGCCATAGTGGTTGTATTTATGCCATGGAAATCAGTTTATATTATTGTTTTGCTTTGTTGATTTTCTAGACCAGGGGTTGGCAAACTTTTTCTATAAAGAGCCAGGTAATATTTTTGGCTTCTGAGTCACATACAGTTCCTGTCACACAATAATTATTTGTTTGACAGGCTTTCAAAATACAAAATTATTCTTAGATCTCAGACTGTACAAAAAGACACCACAGGTTGGATTTGGCTCGCAGGCCAAAAGAGGTTTGCCAACCTCTGGTCTAGACTTAAGAAAGTAATAAAGAAAATGTTAACAATGCAGATGAAACTCAAAACTACCATCTCTATAGCTGTGACACTGTGAAAAACACAAGGAATTGAGGACATACTCTTTCCAGTATTCAAAACTTATCATTCAATTAATCAAAGAAGTTGCTCACATCATCAATGAGTAAAGTTCTGAAGTATGTCTTTATTGTTTCAGTTTTGTCTTACTGGTTAGGATAAACAAAAATATAAAACATTTAGATTGTTACTGTCTATACCTTGGCCTTTGACATAAGTGACTTCTTTGTTGAATAGTAATCAAGCATTTATTCATAGTTCTTGATTTCTGACTATTGCTATGAATTATAAAACCTTTTAAGTGGAATTTTTAAGAAATAACAAATCACACTGACATCATAGGTATGTGAAATTTACAATAAAGAGTAGGTATTATTATTATTATTTGTAAGTCATATGCTATGTATCCCCTGCTTGTGCTCTGTCTGCATCTCTCTCTCGAAAATAAACATTTAAAAAAAATGAAAAGAGAGAGAGAGAAATCTAATAGGCACACAGTCTGAGTCAGTTAGATGAAGGTGAGCAACTGATCTGAAAGGTCTGGTGCTCAGTTGAGTGTGTGTGTTTGAGAGAGAGAGAGAACCATGAAATAAAGATGTCAGATGTCAGAGGCAAAGAAAGCTACCTCAGGCTCCCCCTTCTCACTCTAGTCCTTGTATGAATCAACTCTATTTTATTTCCTGTCCCTGATGCCTATGAATTTGCCTACTGTAATCCTAACGAGAATCCCCTCTTTATTTAAGGTTGCTGAAGTTGAATTCCTGTTCCTTCATAACCAAAAGCTCTGTGACTAAGCCAGTCACAGGGTTCTCTTATATTGGCCCCTGAATCTCCCAAATGTGACGACTATCAGTCACAGGAGAATCTACAGATGATGGTGTTGCAGCATTACCTAACAAAAAGGATAAAGAAAAAAGAAAGAAAGATGTCTTCACTAATATAATCAGTTGAAGAATCAGTATGAGTCTTAAAATAAAAGGAAGTAGGGGGAGTCTGGGTGGCCTAGCTGGTCAAGCATCTGACTCTTGATCTCAGCTCAGATCTTGATCTCAGGGTCATGAGGTCAAGACCCGCCTTGGGCTCTACACTGGGCATGATGGCTACTTAAAAAATAATAATAAAATAAAAATAAAGGGAATGCCATGCACAATCAGGCGGACTCTGGGAAACTGAAGGAACTCACATAGCAACTCAAGGGTAAAGAGTAACAGGTTGTGACCAGGCCGCAAGACCACTTGGAAACAGCCAACAGAGAGGTCTGAACTCATATTTAACTTTCTTATTAGTTTATTATAGTAGTCAAAATGCCATAAAACATGTTGTATTTGTTTTATGTGTTTTATTTTCTAAACAAATTAGGGGTTAGAAAATACAGTTTTGTCTTCTGGTAGAATGTAATCTCTGTAGAATAGATAAACAACTGAGGTTTTGTTTGAATCCCATGCTAGTCAAGCATTGCCCTTAAAGAGCCCCTGTGTAGTCTGTCTTTCTCCTCATCGAGAATGGACTCCAAACCAGAATCTGAATTACTGCAATGCCAAGGGGCACCAGGCAAATCAAATTAAACATAGCATCACGAAGATCTAAAATTGTACTAGGGAAAAAAAAAAAAAGATTTAAAACATAATTAGTGTCTCTAGTGTTATCTCTTACTAATCCAAAACTATATAACAAAAGGCTTCAGAAAAGTTTTGCTTTCAAAAAGTAACAGAAATTTTATTAAATCTAGATTTTTCCCCAAATAATTGAATAATCCCTACCTTCCAGTTGCCCATACCAGAGGAGTCTGACATGTAAATGGGTGGTCTTGATGCCTGATGGGAAGTCACACAGCTGTCCTGAAGGACCACACACAGTACACGGGAAGACGGAGGGTGGAGGTAAGGCGCAAGGCATAGGTACATACACGCACACGCTCATAATACTTCAGTCTTGAAATTACCCTCCAACATGTTTTAAACAAAGTGGTGGGGATTTGGCATTCATATTTATCAGTAAACTTACCTCCATCCAACACAATTAGAGGTTACAAAAAGAAACTACAGTTAATAGTAATATTTAGGAGTAGCATGCCCTGGTTTTCTGCCAAGAACTTGCACTAAGCTCCCAGATCCTGTGGTTCTTCATTAAGCTCCTGATAGATCTTTTTGTTTTTCCCTTCATTTAAATCACATACACTAACAGAGGGCTCCTGATTATTTGAGGACTGATTATCCAGTCTTCAGTTGCTTTGTGGTCACCTAGTGTATCTCGAATATATCCTCATTCCTTCAGCCAAGTGAGGAACTAATTTAAAAGGTCAAGCTATCTGATAGTTTAGGAAGGAGGAGAGGTGGTTTGTTATATTTTCATACTAAAATCAGCTACTATTACCAAAGACTAGGTATCACTCATTCATCTTTTTAAAAAACGGCACTATGTGATTATTAATGTGTTGGCATTAGACTAAGTACGGGGTATTCAATGGTAGGCAACACTGAGAATTCCCACCTTCAAGGAGCTCACCTCCTGGTGCAGAAACCAGACCTCAATCAAGCAGTCACAGATAAGAGTGATCTACATATGGTGACTAGGATCACTGCATTAAGAGGGTGCCTGGGCAGCTCAGCCAGTTAAATGTCTTACTTCGGCTCACCATTCCCAAGTTCGAGCCCCATGTCAGGCTCTGTGCTGACAGCTCTGTTTCAGATTCTGTGTCTCCCTCTCTCTCTCTCTCTGCCCCTCCCCCATTCACGCTCTGTGTGTCTCTCTTTCTCAAAAATAAATAAACATTAAAAAAATTATTAAAAACAAAGGTCACTGCATTAAGTGCTGTGATGGAAAAGCACATGGTATTAGACAGGAGCACATAACCAGAGGGTCTGGCCTGCTCTTGGCAAGTGGAGTCCAGAGGAGGCTCCCCTGAGGAGGCAATATTCGAGCTTAGATCTGAAGGGTTAGTAGGCATTAACTAGAAGGCCTATACTTAGACTTATGTGCAAAAACTCCAACTATCACTACCTCCTTCTCAGAAGCCATAGCTGGGAATGCTCTTGGTGCTCTGGGCTGGACTGCATTTGTTAGGACTGGCCCAATCAGTGTTCCACAAGACCAGCCTTCATCTCAAGTCCTACTTGGTCCAAGAAGTGATTGATAATGACCTACCCGACCCACTGTTCTTGTGCTGCTACTTTCTGGGCTCTGAGACAAACACAGAGGCTTGGGTCATAGGCTGGGCCATCAACACATACCTACTACAGCCTCTGGAAGTAACAGAGGCACTAAGGGTGCCACTGATATGTGGTGTCTCTTCTGCTCCACCCAAACTATCTATGGAAAAAACTCATTTTGGGGGGGCATGTGGTGGTGTGTCTGCCCTGCATTCCTTCCTTTAAGAAAAATCCTCTCCCCTTTTCCCACACCAACTGACTGCCCAGCTCCCACCCCTAAGATCAGGCACAAGGTCAGACCTCATCAGAGAAAACTCCAGCCTCGGGCTACAACTACTGACTCAGGGATGGGCACGTGACTCACATAAAGCTTTTCAAGGTTGGCCGGGGGACTTCTGCTCTGTGAATAGAAACCTTGGCCGGAGGACTTCTGCTGTGTGAATAGAACAAATGTACATGTTTGTTTCCTTTAGGATCTTAGGCTGTTGGGCCCAAGTAAGCCTGGAGTTATCTTGCAGCCATATGGTAAAAGACTGCACTCAATATAGAAGGAAAGCCAGAGAAACAGGTTCCTATCATCATCCGAGTAGCTACCCAGATCCACGTTTGCCTGACCTTTCAGTTACAGGAGCTGGCAAGTTTCTTTTTATTAATCTAGCCTGCATTGGGCTTCTGTCACTTACAGCCAAAGTGACTTGAATAATGTACCTTTCCCAATTGGCATGAATATCCAAATTACCATAAATTGGCAGACTCTGACCATTATAGGGAAAAGATTCAGTGATTTCTAATTGGCCATTACTAACAAGGACACGGGAGGTTTGAAACGGCTGAGCACAGGTTTCGAGATTGAGAAGAAGACAAGGTCATGGTTGTACTTTTGAACAAGACGTAGGTGCACACAAGCATGATGCTTCTCTCACCACCTTTGTTCACTGATTAGAACCACAAGACCAGATGAGAGAGAACCAGACAGACAATGGGTATGAGATGCCAAAAAAGTAATGGAAACTCAAGTTTCAGTTTGAAGCAGCCTAAATCACACATTTCTCAAACACAAAGAAGAAAGGAATTGGCCTCATCAAGACCTTTAAAGGAGAAAAGAACCACAGAGCCATGACCATGAGCTGCTAGTCACAGAATTACTAAAATGTGTGCTCAAAAGCCCAGTGTTTTATGAAAAGACTGGTTTCTGCTTGGCCAAGGCACTTCTGTGCATCTTATCTGAGTGTTTGGTTAGCAGCAGGAGCCCATTATCCTTCAGCATTTTCTAGTTATAACAGATCCCAGTTTCGGAAATATCAAAAAATTGGATTTCGGCTGCCAAGGGCTTTCTCTGGGAGACATCTGCTCTCCAAGACAGAACGGTCTTTTTCTCTTTTTTTCACTGGCCGCGGGGGCGTGGGGGACACCTGTGGTAATCTGCAGAGGCAAAGCCTCCTGTGAGCATGCTAACAATACTGCAGACAGAAAGCCTTAGGCTAAAAGTTCAAGAAAAGGCAGGGGGATGAACGGGATGAGTAAAGCAAGCTGAGAACTACCATGTTGTGGCTTAAGACCTAGTTCTTGCAGGGTTACGTTGTTATTACTGAAGCTGCAACCATTTTAATGTTTCATGCCGGCCAGAGCAAAGGTCATTTCCCTACCACTTCACTGAATCACTTGATGCTCTTCAAAAGTCTCCCTGGTCTTTCTGCTCCTTTCTTAAGATTCCCTCTCATTCTCTTAAAATGTCATTCTAATCTGGAAAAGATGCCCAGGATTTAGAGAATTTCTTTTCCTCTTTCACATTATGTTCACTCTACCTGGATATGGTTGAATCTATTGACCAGTTGGGCTTTTATGCTTTCAGAATGTCAATTCTAACCTTCACAGTTTTGAATGAATCTCTGGTAGAAAAATAATTCCTAAGACTCGCTTATAGCTTTGTTCACTTAATAAATATTTATTGCACACTTACTGTTTGAAGTGTTTGCCCTATGGAGTAAATCAGCACTGATCCTTACCGTCAACAAAGTGTATATATATTGTAGTGGAGGCAAAGAGGCAATAAACACATATCTTTAATGTTATCTTATAATAATAGCAATTGCACTTTTACTTATGGAAAAATTTTTGCACCTGATATGCTCTCATAATGTTCTGCTTTCACAAAAAGAAGTACCTACCTGCAGGTTAGAACATTCTAAAATATTGTCGTTTGGTGTCTTTTTCTTCATTTTCTTGTCTTACACCTGCTAAATAATAATATTGTTTTGTGGCAATATAGAAACTTCTGAATTAAGATTTGGAAATTTTGAGTCCCTCTTTGCTCTCAAGAAGAGAAAGGTAACTTCTCCTTTCTAGGGCCAGCCTGATGAGCCCCTTGTAAGAATAGTGATGGCATCGCATGTATTGCAGGTTTGTATGTGCCTGGCCCTATTTGACGCTTTTTTGTCACTGCTACAGATTTTCACAATAACCCTGAAGAAGACACTATGGCTTAACTAGGTTAATTAAATTGCCCAAAGTTTGGGGTGCCTGGGTGGCTCGGCCAATTAAGCACCTGACTCTTGCTTTCAGCTCAGGTCAAGATCTCACGGTTTGTGAGTTCAAGCCCTGTATTGGGCTCTATGCTGTTAGCATGGGGCTTGCATGGAATTCTCTCTCTCTCTGCCCCTCTGCTCACTCGCTCTCGCTCTCTCTCTCTCTCTCAAAATAAATAAATAAACTAAAAAAGTTAAAAACAAATTTGCCTGAAGCTCCACAGCTTGGAGCTGGGTTTCTCATCTCAATGTGAACTAAAAATCTCTCCACGAGAAAATGGAATTTATAATATGAATTTAGATGAAAAAAAAACATTTTTAAAGAATAAAGTCATGGGGCGCCTGGGTGCTCAGTTGGTTAAGCATCTGACTTCAACTCAGGTCATGATCTTACCATTTGTGGGCTCGAGCCCCATGTCGGGCTCCATGCTGACAGCTAGCTCAGTGCCTGGAGCCTGTCTTCAGATTCTGTGTCTCCCTCTCTCTGACCCTCCCCTGCTCGCACTGTCTCTCTCTCTGACTCTCAAAAATAAATAAAAAAACATTAAGAAAAAAAAAGAATAAAGTCATATACTTTCCACAGAAATGAATTCAGAAGATCTGAATGAAAGTCAATGGACTATAACAAATGTCAAGAACACTAACTATGATCACATTGCTGATGTGGAAGGGTAAGGGTCTATATCCCTACACTTCTTTGCCAGAGGTTGGGGCTATTGTGTTTTTATCTTGGATTTTTATTTTTAAGTTTATTTTTTATTTTGAGAGACAGAGAGCAAGAGAGAGAGGATCTCAACCAGGCACCCCACTGTCAGCATGGAGCCCAACATGGGGCTTGAACTCAAGAACCATGAGATCAAGACTGAGCCACCAGGCATTGGGAGTTATTGTTAATGTTTCCACCTATAAAGATTAACTAG